TATATTATTTTATAAAAATATAAAATGTGTGTAGTAATTGAACTTTTGAAATATAAAAAAATAGAAATCATGAAATAATAAACAAAAAATAGCAATTGCTCATTTAAATCATTAATCCTTTTTTCATAATCACACATTAAGTGTCATATATAATGTAAAATGTAATGTTGAAATAATAATAATAATAATAATAATAATTTATTTTTGACATTCAGCTATGAATGTCTAGACATTCATTCATTTAGTTAAGTTTGATAAATTTTTTCTAAATTATTATGCAGACACCGAAGTTGACATTTCTGAATATATATCTTTTTTTTATTTCCCAATTTTTCATTGTACTGAACCTGCATTTTTTCAGCAATTTGCTTTGTGTTTCTTTACGTCAGGTGATGAGGAGAGCGGCTCAGGCAGCGGTAGCGGCTTCACAACTGAGCCTGAAGTGGTCCACACGGAGCCCCCGATGCTGGAAGCAGACAAAAGCGACCCGCAACCACCAACAGACGTGGCGGCCCATCAGCAAAAGCCTTTGTTGCAGTTACTAGTGGCAGTAACGGCCCTCACATGGCTGCTGCTGTGGTTGAGATAATGGCAGTAGGCGGCACGCAGCCACACGGACGTTTAAGACAGACGCAGCATCGCTCGCGCTGTTAGCCTTTCCATAACTGGACTGGACATTTTCCAAAAAAAAAAAAAAATGGTAATAAAAAATATCAAGAAATAACCCATGAAAAAGGAGAGCAAGCTAACTAGCTAGGCATGAGGAGAAGGACGAGCGAGCGCAAACCTTTGCATCCTGCTTGTTCCAAAGAATGCTTGGTGCAATCAGAAGCAGCTTCTCTTTTGGCCAACTGCTCTCATTTCTAAATGAATTTAAGAGAAAAACTAACTTTTCGGATGAAAAGTGGTCGCCATGCAAATGCTATCGCTTTGCATTTTCGCAAGAGAATGGGAAAATATGAAAATCTATATTTTTGCTTTCCTTACTGCATAAATGAGACGCCAAAATACGCTCTGGTGTTTTTTGTTGTTGTTTTTGTTTTTAATTAAATGTTCACCCCTCCCGAATCATTGTGCGATAAACAAAAAAACAGACGTTATAAAGAAAAAAGAAACAATAAAAACGATATAAATCAACTTGTTTATGTACCACTGTGAGAATGCATGGGAAGGTCATGAGTACATGTTTTTTGAGTAACTGTGATTTTCACACAATATGCTTTTACTCTTTTTTCGTTTGTTTAATTTCATCATTTTTATTATTTTTTTTTTTATTTATTTATTTTTTTTTTGCTAGGCTAATGGAAATTTGAGGTAATTTTTAAAGACTTTAGATGGTTTTAGGTGAGCGTGAAGGTCGAGTTTTACAGAGGGCTGCTCCTGCTTAATTCAAAATAAATTACCCTTATCTTAATATATAAAGGTTTTAGTTATACAATGTTTTCTTACAGAGAAAGATTTATTTATATTTCTAATATAATTATATATTTTGGCTTTACCAGTTAGCAACTTTTATTCAAAAGCGCGTATCTAACAAAATCTAACAAAATGTTGCTCTTTTCAGTGCAAACTCGTTCATTTATTTAACAAATATTTGCTTTTCAATCTGGATTCAGACTTATAAAATTGCCTAAAGCCCCGTTCACACCGATAACGATAACTATAAAGATAACGATATTAGCGTCCACACCAGCGAACAATATCGTCTGTTTATTCTAAGCGCACATGCGTCTGCCGCTTTAAATTCTCGAGCTCGTTACAGCAGGATGGATTCTGATTGGCTGTCAATTTTTATCGTTCATCAGCTGGAGAAAAATCGTTTTGAAAGTGATTCCAACGATATCGTTTCTCTTTGTCTTTATCGTTATAGTTGTGGTGTGGACTCTGCTATTCTTTAATATGGAGAACGATTTTTACAACTATATCTTTATCGTTATCTTTATAGTTATCGTGCTTGGTGTGAACGGGCCTTTAGTCTGAAATGTCTTACTGAGATGCTTTCCTTTGCTCCATATGTAATTGTGATTTGGGATAGTTTCTCTATCAAAAAGTCTTTGAAAGCCAGTGTTAAACCCGACTGAGTCATGCTCCTGATGCTCATTTATATACTTGTCATTGTAATCAATTATGTATGCACAACCCTCATTTACTTATCAGCATTTTTAATTTTCTGCCTTTATATGTAGCTCACCATATCAGCGTTTCATGTATAAACATTTATATGTACATTTGTAAAATTATTTTTTTGTGAATCAACAGGCCTCATTCATGAAACTATAGCAGATTAAATTTGCATGTAAATATGATCAAATAAACAATATATAAATACATCTATTTTATATAATGAGATATACAAAATGATTCTTTGAATTTACATTTTGAACAGATTTGGTGAAATGTAGCATTACATCACTCGCTCACCAGTGGATCCTCTGCAGCGAATGGGTGCCGTCAGAATGAGAGTCCAAACAGCTGATAAAAAACATCACAGTAATCCAATACAATAGTCTTAATGATGTATTTGTTTCAAACACGCAGCCTTTGGCTTCATTAGATGTTAATTGTTGGTCTGGAGTCGTGTGGATTACTAGTGGATTATTGTGATGTTTTTATCAGCTGTTTGGACTCTCCTTCTGACGGCACCCATTCACTGCAGATGATCCATTGGTGAGCAAGTGATGGAATTCCTAAAGTTCTCCAAATCTAAATTTCTTGGATGACCTGAGGGTGAGTACATTTTAAAAGCTAATTTTCATTTTTGGTGAACTATTCCTTTAATTCAAATTGCATAATAATATATTTTTATGAAATATTTACACATAAATCTGTTATGCACATGTTTCACGAATGAGGCCCAGTAAGTTTGAGTCACTATGAATGTTACAAGGGCACTTTCTTGATTTGACTTGTATCTGTAGTTATGAATGTTCCCAATCCAGTGCAATTCAAATCCGATTTATACATTGAACAAACTATACATTGACAGAATTACCAGTTTAATAGCTCAGACCTCCCGTTATGACTGCTGGCATGTGTTAATGTATCGTTTTATGACAGCCTCTCCAAACAACTTGTCATTTATGGAAGGACGCTGTGCATTCATCCAGAGCTGTAAAGCTGTGCTTTATGTTCAAAGCCGCCTGCTTAAACACTCTTTTTATCATTGAAATGCAAAGTTGCTAAAAGATCCTCTAATGTCCTCTTCTCATAGATGCGTGAAGGTTGAATTGAAGCATCAGTGAGGACGGGTGGCGTGTGGAATATAGACACACAGACAGCTTTAAAAAAAAATGAAATATGGAAGTAAGAGAGAGAGTCTGGTGATGCTCCGCTGCATCTGGTTTTTGAAGGCAGGAAAGGCAGCAGAAGACTATGTGCTTTTTGCTCATGCCTGGGTACTTTTGTTTTCCCAAAAAGGCTCAGAAAGTACCTTGGTGGGTTTTGGAAGATGAGAAATTCAGTGAGCCAAGAGACAGGGCACATTGAGGAAAGGTCGAACATGCGGCCGTGTCTTAAAGTCAACATGAAGTCAGATTCTGAACCCTGTTTGCTTTATAACATGTTCCTAGCCGTTGTGTTGTGCTGAAAATCTTTTACCTAATTCGGTGTTCCCAGTCAAAAATGACCAGCCTTTTTTAAAATTGTGTGTAAATCTGTCATTCTGCTATATTATCACCAAATCTTGGATTCAATCTTTTTTATCAACTTGTTTTCTTTCAGTTAGCACAGGTTTTGTATTTATTTTTGGAACTGATTAATCATAGGCCTCATTGATCCTCAAACTTATCCAGAAATGCTTTTTTCACTCAAAAACTGAGGTGCATAAGCTCATAAGCATTTTATTTAAGCAACATCATTTTATAACTATATATATATATATTTTTTTTTTTTTTTTGTTAAATTATTAATACAGTTTTGATTTTTTTTTTATTTTAAAAAGTTGTTTTAAAATTATAATATAATATAAAATTATATTTTAAAATTGTCGCCTAAAAGTCATCTTTTTATGTAGTGTCAGCTTTTTCTACATTTGATCAACCTTTAAAACCCTTTAAAATGCACAATGTATTACAACATTTACAACTCATTAGACATAATGATGGTTAATTAATTAACTTTGGCAGCCCAAAAATACTAAAACTAAATTTAAAAAACACCAAAAAAGTTAAAACTAAATGAACATTAATGAAAACTAAACTAAACTGATGGGAACATTTTAAAATAGATGTAAACATTAAAGTACACTCTAAAAAATGCTGGGTTGTTTCAA